ATTCGCGGCTCTTCCGTTAAGGCCAAGCACTGTCGCACGCGCGACCGCGACTCTCCTTCCGCTCTCTGCGGTGGGAATGAATTCTTCCATCTCGTTCTTTTCCCCGCCAAAGGGGGCGACAAGAACGAGGCGACCGAGATGCGCTCGGGCATAGGAAGGATAATTCACCTGAAGATTCCCAGGCAATGCCGAACGTGGAATATCCGTAAATTAATCGTATATAAATGTTTATTGAACGTACGTTAGATGTGTACAGGTGTCTATGAACTCTACTTTAAATACAGTCAAAGGCTAGATGTCCGGATGTGGTGCGTAATATATGTATATATCTTGGATATCTACAATAGATGGTCTATAGATATTCATACGTATTTGTAATGAAAATTAAATTCATAACACTCCTTGGGCAGAGTCCGTTTGAGAACTTGTTCGGTACAGCTGTGCAGAGAAATCCTGATGTTTAGGATGGAGAACAATTTTTTTTGTAATTGTCGGGATTTAAACCCGGCACTCGTGGGTACGCGAGGAGGGAGTACGGGTACTCGCGGAAGCAGGAACGCGCTAATCATGATGCCTATGAAGGATTTAATATTTTTCGGACTTATTTCGGACGGGATGGATCGGGAATTTGCTCGTAGGCCTTCTGGGCCGAGTTGTTCGCATCCGACCCCGAAGAGCGATTCGGTGAATATCGGACCCAGCTCGAATTTAGCCTCGTGTATAAATTTCAATTCCCCGGGCGACTATCTTGGGATTTACGAGCCAGCGGTGCTCTCCTGGCCGACGAGTTTCATCGGCGTTTCCGAGACCTCAGGGACCGGTTGCACGAGTTAGGCTCTTCGGGTTCGAAGTCGATGCCTCCTCGATCTGCCTTTAGGCCTAATCGGGCCAAATCGGCGAGATCGATACGTGATTTGGGGATTTATCGACTCGGGACTCCTGCTCGACGAGAGGGAACGAACAGATAGCGCGAATAGGGACCCGAGGGAAGAAAAAAGGTGTCACTTTAAACAAAATCGTTCGATCGCACTACATCTCGGTTAACTTTATACATCGTTTTGACATTTGGTCGATTATAGATAACGTATCGGTGAACCGCGTTTCAATTCCCTCGATTGCTATGTACACGGTTAAACGAAGAAAAATTGTTATTTGGTTAAGTAAAATACTTTTCCCGCGCGGATGGTCCACGCAGACTCCGATCGGTCTCCATGTAAGGAATGTATGTTGCATCCGAGAAAGCTTTCCTGAAGAGAGAGACGGCCTAATCGGCGCATACGCGGTGTCGTTAGGCAGGGAAAAAAGAGTCGTTTAATGCGACCTGCGGAAGATAAGAGTGCGGCGAAAGCCGGAAATTGGTCGGAAATTGGCCGGAAATCAGCGCTAAACGTGCCCGTGGATGAACTCTCGTGGTAATTTCCCGGCCATAGAGAAGAAAGAGAGAAACTTCTCTCTTTCGGTCCAGCACAATGATGATCTCGTCTACCGGAAGTCGCTTCAGGGGTGCACCTCTTGCGAGGACCGGAAGAGCGATCGGATTCCGTACATGGAAATTTCCTCGGAAATTTCCATGTACGGAACAAGGAGGCGAACAAAGGCGGTCTCCCTCTTTGACCCGAGGAGGGAGACCGCGTTTCTCCGGGCCTTGTGCGGACACGTTCCGCGATTCCCCAGGAAATCTCGGGAAATCGCTTTCGCGGAAAGAACGCCACCCGGACGGATCGCTCCTCGGCATCTCCCGGGATCGATTTATTTCATCGAATTATCTCTTTCTTTTTTTTTCCCCCCCTCTCGGAGCTTCCGCGCTTTTTTCCTCATTTCCACGTCCTCGAAGTCCAGCCTTTCCGCGCGGCGCATTATACACGATGAAACCGCAACCCGAGGTAATATTTAATAACGCGGTGCCGCACTCACGCGATGCTACCTAACCTGTTCCTCCATGGGCGGATTTCTGACCGGCATCGACCTTTCCTCCTTATTTTCTCCTTTTTCCTTTTTTTTCCGTTTTCTCATCGCTTTGTTTTACTTCCCCTCGTTGTTCCCTAGATTCATGCGTTTCTCCTTCGTGTTTGTAAATTCCTGCAGCAGGCCAGTTGATTTATTTTCAAAACATTCGGGGAGAGTTTCCCTTGGGAGCGAGACCTTCTTGTAAATGGCGAATTGCATTTCTCCGGATGTTTCGTCTCCGGGTGTTCGATTTCGCCGAGGAGGCCTCGAGGACCAAAAGGACCTCGAGGACTCTTCAGGGCTCCTCGAGACATCGCGTTGGTCTCGATTTCCTTCTCTTGAGAATACTACACCTGAGGGGCTATCACTCAGAAATCAGTGAAACGATCTTCTTTGAGAACCGATTATGTCTGGTCGCGTATGATAAACGACAATGTGATTCGATATCAAGCAACGATCGGCCTTAAAATCGTAACAATTTCCACGTGATTTCCACTTAAAAAAATCGATGATTTCCTGAGTGAATGAACCCCCCTTCCGACGTAAGCCTCGAAAAAGGGACGGAGAAATCGATTATCGGCGTTTCGACCCACGTGAAATTATTCGGAATGGTAACATTTCACGGCCGCGGGCGAGCCTCGTGTTGAGGGCCTTTTCGCCCACGCAAAGAGGCTCCATAAAATTACATGGTACTCCGCCGGGCCGTACAAGGCACCATAAGATCCAACTCTAGCACCCGTTTGCATATTCGGAATTAACGAGGAGGAAAGAGGGCCCCTCTGGCCCCGGGCTCATTTTTTTTTTTCTAAACTCTTCTCGGCCGACAAAGGGAATTTTTCTCCCCATCATGTCCGAAGCCTTCATTTCCCGAAATTTCTTTCATCAGTCCTCTATTTCCATCCCTGTTACGAAGGAAAAATTTGACCAATAAAGTTTATGAGAAAAGTGACAAATAAATGGGAATAATGCACGGATTTCCACGTCACCCTTGGGGTACCGTGCCAGGACGCGTTCCCATTATTTTACATGGCGGGATCCCCAGGAGGCCTACACCATGCCACAGATTTCATGTGGAAAAGTAAATCAATAACCCATCCAGTTTTCATCTCGATTATTGTTAACGTTTCAGGAAGTCCTTTTCTAGGATCAAGATAGAATTCCCGACTCGACTCTCCGGCGTGTTTTCCATTTGCCGAAATCTCGCGCGATAGGACAGAGAGAGAAAGAATATTGCAGGAGAAGTGCAACGCCCCTCTTATCCTCTTTTATCCTCTCTTATCCTCTCCGAGAGGAGGAGGCTGCAGCGACCTCCGGAGCGACAGGTGCAATCGGGAGACACGAAGATGGAGATCTCTTTCTCCGCGAATCTGGGTCGGCGATTGCCAAAAATGGGAGGCGAATCAAAATTCGACCCACATTACCCGGTGGGAAATGCACTCGCGAACCGGCCCCCGGGGAATGCACCGCAATTGCAGTCCGAATTTGATCCGGTGCATCTCATTAGGTGCATCGCCGGTCGCTGCGCGCGTCGTCCCCAACCGCGGAAAAATTTTCAAAAAATACGGAACTACTTTTCGACAATTTCCTCTGAAAGGAAATCGTTGAAAGATGTCATCTCTCATCCGGCTCCACCGGAGGATCGAGTCGGCGCGTCAACTTACGATGCTAACTTATCGCTTAGATCGCCGCCGAAGCGAGGTTTACCTCTTTCTGTATACCTTTTTTTCTCGTCTAAGACTCTTTATCGAGATAATTAATGAGAGCGACGGAACCGAGTCTCACTATGCACAGCCACCCACCGAGTTGCCACCCGCCTCGACTCCGACAGGACTGAAACTGCACGGGTGAACGAGCCCCGGCCACAGGGGCGTTTATATACCGAGGGGTTCATCGATTTTCGCCCTTACGGCCTCCGCGCCTGCGTGACCCTCTTCCTCGAACCTGGACGACGCGGGCGGTGCATCCCTTCCGAAAACATTTCCACGTTCCTGCGATTCGATTAATTCTCAGCCCCTCGACGCTGCATGCATTAAATTTCCATTGTAAGATAAACAGAAATTCACAGAACGCTGCAATTTCATTTATTTTTTTTTTCCTTCTTCTACACGCCATATTACATCTTAATCCGGGGGGGAAGTACATGCATTATATTTCCCTTGAAAAATGACCAGAAATTTGCCCGAAGTCTACATTTTAATTTTTTTCCTTGTCTACGTGCCAAGTTACGTTTCATTTCAAATAGAAGGAAGTGCATTCTCACGCCGCGGAGGTCGAGGGAAAGGGAGTCAAAGGATTGCCTGGAAGATTAGTTAGGACGTGTTGCACTTTTCCTCTTTCACTCGTACCTCTAGGTGACAGTCCACCTTAACGAGGGGATTAGAAGGAGGCGATTAGAAAGGAAGTTAGTAGGAAAGCGTGTGGATGACAATGCAGGAAAGCCGAAGCTCTTCCCGAGTGAAAAGTGATCCCCTCATGATAGGCCGGTAGATTTGGTACGCTTTCATATTTATTTTCTCCATACAAAGACGAGGCTTAAGTGCACTTTTGTTGCGCCTGCCCGATACTAAATATCCGTTCAGTTCACTCAATTTAACGAAATCGAAGTCCAATTAATATCCTTGACTTTTAGTAACATATTCGCCGTCTGATCTCAGACTTCTTGGATTTTTTTCAATGTCCTGTCTCGCATGTTCTTTTGCATTAGCATTAGCATATGCATTAGCCGCCTGCATCCTCCACCGGAGGTCGCACAGGACGCGGTCGCTCGATCTTTCCCGTGAGCAATCTCCCAACTCATTTCTGGTCTCCATCGTACTCTTAAATCCGGGATTTATCAGGTTCGGATTCAGTAAATCGCATATCATATATTCATCGTACTCCTAAATTCGAGTTCTGATTGGCTCTTGCTTCAGGTGAGGCAATTTTGAGGTTGGGTTAAATCCGGGATTTATCAGGTTCGGATTCAGTAAATCGCAGGTCTTCATCGTACTCCTAAATCCGAGTTCTGATTGGCTCTTGCTTCAGGTGAGGCAATTTTGAGGTTGGGTTTGTAGGTTCCGAAACAAATCCATGGAATTAAGTGGAAATGCCACTGTTCCGTTTAAATGAATTCGTCGGTGTTTAGTTGACAGCTGGAAGTACATACGTACGGGGGACACGATGATCAATGAAATTGAATGAAATTACGATTGACGCAAGTTCGTTGTAGGAGGCTGTCAAAAGTATCAAAACGGGTCACAAGGTTTTCGCGGAGGCAGCGAACATGTCACCTGTCGAGAGAGGAAGTCTGTGAGATTTTTCAAAGGGACCAACAAAAGATTATTGCAAAAATGGCAGGGTTAAACAATGTGATCAAGGCCATGGAGTTTCTTAAAGGATTGCAAGATGAGAACATTACTAGTCAGGATAGTGCAATGAGGTATGATTTGTAAACGTTGATTAAAAGGACACATTCAATAATTGTCGTAGAAAATATTAATGATTTTCATTCGCTATGGCGTGTCAGCAGGAAAAAGGAAGTCATGGTTAGTTGCGTAGCGATAGCTGATGGAATCTGTTCGCCAAATATTAAAACTGCTTCGAGATTCTCTCACATACTCGGTGTGTCCATTCAAACGTTGCTAGCACTGTGCGACGATCCGGAATCCGACGTGCGAATGGTAGCTGATGAGTGTCTCAATAGAATTATAAGGGTAATACTTTAATTTCGTAGGGTTCTCGTTGATCTATTTATTTATTTGTATACTTATTAACATTTAGTCTCACTCCAGGCAATGACCAATGGCAATATTTTGAAAGTACAAGTTGAATTGTATAATGAAATCAAAAGGAATGGTCCAGCTCGATCGTTGAGAGCTGCTCTGTGGCGATTTGCAATACTTAGTCATGCTATACGACCGATGAAAGGAAAGACATACGTGTCTAATTTAATTCCCTGCATTGTGATTATCGCAGAGCGTACAGAAGAATCTGTCATTAATACATTGTCCACTTCTCTTCCTATGATTCTAAAAACTCTGGGACCTTTCATGACTGACAACGACGTTAAGGTATGCCCGAAGGCCTTATAAAGTATATGTATAAGAAATTAGTTGCGCTGTAAAATTTAAACCACAATTCTTACGTGCGCTTCAGGTGCTGTTGAAAGTATTTTTTCAAAATATACCTTCTAGTCAGGCAGTATTCCGAAGAGCAGCTGCTAATATGATATTAACTACGTGTTTGAACTGTAGTAAACCTCAAGTTTTTTTACATTATGTATTGGAGTACCTTATAGGTAAGTAATATCCTCTAAGCCCGCTGTAATGTAAAGTACATTACATGAGAAGATGGTGAATTACAGATACAGTAGTGCCCGTATCGAAAGAAGAGGATCACCTGCCAACGGTGACGGGTGTGCTAGGATGTTTGCGTGTAATTTTACCTCGGATAGTAGAACCGACAGAGCCAGGATCTGGACCCGTGTACAGTGTGGATAGACTTCTACAGATTTATGAGTTGTGCCTATATTTTGCAAAGTGGCACTCCGATCATAACGTCGTCAACGCGGCTCTAGAGACCCTGGCTCAACTGTTGCAATCCAGCCAAAGGAGTTTAATATCCTGCCTACTATCGGAAACAGGGATAACTCAAAGTAGAATAACATCCAACGAAAATGTCAGTCGTCTACCATTGAGTCGGATGAGCGTAGCCACCGTCACATCTGGCCCAAATTCAAGTTCGACCTTAAACCTATTCGAGCCCGACATGTCAGAAATAGCACCAAAGGTGGAAAGATGGATCGCCGACTCGGAAAATGCGCTCTCCGTGATCCACCGACCTCCTCGTCAGGAAAACTTTCCCAGCGAATCCGTCGAGACAGCTGGAAAGCCTATGGAAAATTACAGCAATCTTACGATAGGTCCCGTCGAAAGTGAGTACCACTAGCTCGGTTATTTAATTTCCTCCGTTAGAACACACGTATACAGGTAACAATTTCAGGCGAATGCGCCGAGGAGGGTAGCGACGTGGGCAGCGACGTGGAGAGATTAGAAAAAATGTCCAACCCGAGCACGTTGAGTCATTTGTCAAAAGACGAGGAATATTCCGACGACGCGGTACTGTCCATTACGTCGCCTCACAGAACCGCATTTAGTAGTCCGTTTCCGGAGGTGGACGTGGGTTCGATTACGGACATGGATGTGCCGTTGAAGTACTGCTGCCGTTACTTGGCCTCGTCATTTCTTCTGACCGGAAGTGCCGGTCAATGCATTCCAGACAAGATGTTCCGAGTAAGCGTCAAGTCGCTCGCCTTGACATGCATCGGACACGCCTTAAGGCTTTGTCCGACCTTACTTTCCATCTCCGTCGCGAAGAACCCGAGCGAGAATCCTCAGCTAATGTCCGACATTCTTTTATTCGCCGATCACCCCGATCCACAAATAAGAGGAAATATCTCAATAATAATTGGCTCGTACTTGTCCGCCGTCTTCACTCAATATGGCGGAGTGTACAGAGGTAAAGATAGCGAAGAGGAACGAGAACCTGTGCCTTTAGAGAAGCTCATCGATCTGCTCTTGAAGGTACCTTCTATATCATTCTGGTATTTTCAATATGTTTCTATTTTGTATGGTTCAAGTATTACTAGTTTCCCTGTTATTCCTTCCAGGGACTCCAAGACGAATCCTCCGGTACTTGTCGACAAACGCTGATCGCATTGAGTACCTGTCTGGTTAATCTGTTAGAATCGGTAGACAATAAGTGTGGTATTCCTCTTCTAACTGCGCTACCTCAACTCGTGAAGAATCCGTATTTTCTTGTTAAAATCAAATTAGTAGAGGTGTTAAGTGAGTTACCGTACACCACCATAGAGTATATCACGGGTGGGACGGAGTTCCAAGAGAATGCAATCGCTGTCATGGTGAAGTTGTTGGGTGACCAGGACCAAAGAGTGCGGCAGACGGCCAGTACCTCCATCGTGAAGTTGGTATTCATGTTTTTTTTTCCCCGTTATAGAAAACTGTGCACGGTATACCATGAAATGTCCACGTTTCAGGATCATCCCTGTATTGTATTACCGGCATCCGGATGAAGATTCGGTAACGAGAAAGGCGTTCTTGTACACGGAGCAATATTTATCAGCGGTAATCAGGGAGCCCCTGGAAACTTCCTTTGGCTGTCGAGGTGAACAGAAGTTGTTCATCAACAGCCTGGTACGGCCCTTTAAATTATTGTGCGTCCAAAGTGGCTGCGATAATGGCAACGACGACGTCAACGAGAGGATCGAAGACACCCTGTCGCGAATGGTGAACGTTCTGGCGGAACAGCTGGCAGTGGTCTCCTCGAAGCATCTCATCTACGGATGCTGCGAAGCGTTGAGTCGTCTCAGCGAAGCATACCCTACGACGATGTATCCGAAAGCGTGGGACTGCTACTTGCCGAAAGCTCCGGTGAAAAAGATGTACAAGAGATCCAACAGCCGCATCGAGGTCAACGAGGCTGGCCTGGCGAACGAGGTCCCCACGACCGTAGGAAATGGCCTCTTATCGCTGACGATTTCTCTGCTATCGTCCTCTCCGATTAGTCTGGACCTGTCTACGCACAGGCACTTAATTCTGCTGTCGGGGAACTTGGCGTCTGGAATGGCCCTCTGTAATTTGAAGCTAAGCGATCCCACCACGAAGAACGACCTGTGCTTCACCAAGTTCTGGACCTACTTCAAGGACAAGCAGACGTCCCAGCATCTGGAACTGCTGCTGGTCCACGTGGTCCGGTTGCTGAACATTTTCGTTCACGTCATCAACGAGATTCCTTTGGTCCAGTCCAGCATGAAGTCGGCGTTGCCCTCGTTGACGGCTACCCAGTCGCTGTCGCCTAAGAAGAAGCTCCTACCTGAGCACAAATCAAAGGAAAAGGAGGAAAGAGCTTCCCATTCGTTTTTCGGGAAGGAACACATGGGCTCCTTCTCTAGTGTACCTCATTACGTTAAATTGTTCGATATCCTGAAGTCGGCCGACTCGAATTACAAGGTCACCCTGGACTCCGAGGCTAGCGAGATGTACTTGTCGCTTCTCAATGCAAGTCTCGAGGTTTTGTGCCAGATCCTTGAAGTAGCCGCCCTCAACGAAGCCGGTCCTATTGCTGAAGAGATTCTGCATTACTTGCAGACCACTGTGGTCTTGTCACCCACTTATACCGTACAGGGTGTCCAGCAATTGTTGAAGTGCCTGTCGGGCACGAACTTGAGTGCCCGATGGTATGAAAACGAATTGCACAAGAGCATCGACGGGAAGAACGGTCTTCGAGATGACGTCAAGGGTTTCTATGATGGATGCTTCCAGAGACCGGCGAGGCGAATGGCTGAGATCATCAGGATCATGGGGAACAATTGCAGGGATGGGAGCGAGTCCGACACCAGGTGAGGTTTGGACATACAATGAAGGGTTTCTGGAAGTTTCCTTTGATTTTTAACACCTTTTCAGATGGTTCGGGCTGCTGCATAGGAGAGGAGAGAGGAAGCTATCGGCCTTCAAGGGCCTAACTCGGTCGACCGCTCAGAAAGCTTCTATAGCGTCCTTTATCAGGCTCTTCGAGCCCATGGTGATTAAGTCCTTGAAGCAGTACACCATCACCAGCTGCATAGAACTGCAGTCCCAGGTGCTGATGCTGTTGAGTCAGCTGGTCCAGCTGCACATCAACTACTGCCTCCTGGACTCCGATCAGATCTTCATCGAATTCGTGATAAAGCAGTTCGAGTTCATCGAGAAGGGACAGATACAGCGAGCCGAAGAGGTTCTGCCGAAGATATTCAACTTCCTGGTGCATCTGTCGTACGAGAAGTATCATTCCAAGGTGATAATTGGCGTGCCGAAGATTATAAATCTCTGCGATGGGCTGATGGCGAGTGGACAGTTGCCATTGACTCACTGCATACCCGCGTTGACACCGGTGGTCGAAGACATCTTCCTAGCTCGCGGGACCAGCACCAACATCAGCGAGCAGAAGGAGCTGGACACCACCAGAGAAGTGCTGATGGCGATGCTGCTCAAACTGGCGGAGTACCATCAGGTGATAGAACTGCTGGCCCTCTGTTTAACGGAGTTCCGGTACAGCGGGGATGGCAACGGTGAGGAAAAGTGGAGGAGGTGGTCGAGGTCGACCACCGACGTCGTTCTGCCGATGTTGGCCAACGGAGAGGCCAGGATAGAGTCGAGGGAAGCTCACGTGGCGTTTGTCAAACTCTTCGCCGCCCTCTCGCAGACCGTCTTTAAGCCGGTCGACCCACTTCTGAGGGTCCTATTCGTGGTCCCACCGACCTTGTACGAGCCTACCCTGAAAATGGAGCGCTGGATGGGCATGGTCAACGTCATGCTCCTCTCCCTTATCTCGTACGCCAAGGAAGAAGCCATGCTTGCCAGACTATCCGACTTGACCATGCACATTCCAGGACTGATCCACATGCTCCTGAATGCCCCAGGCGCAACTAGTTCTCTACATCTGGCCACGGATCCGTTAAACGTCCAGAGAACTAGAGACTTCGAGGTAACACCCGAGAAGATCATCGCCCAATTTATATTCAGGACGGCTGCATTGGTCGGCCGGAAAATCTATAATCTTCTTGGGCTGAGAGAGGACGAACGTTTCTCGTCCAACACCGCGTTGTGTACGGATTCCAATGACTACTTGATACACCAATTCGCGTTCTTCTTGCAATTATGCATCCACATGTTCGAGTCAGGGAGCCACTGCAAGGTAGCCAATGCGACGATGCAGATGATACAAGGCTGCAACACTCCTGACGAGAGGAAACTACCGATGGCCAATCTCAACGCGCTGATGTTAAGCGTTTCGAGTACTTGTCCGCTGATAACGTGTCAGTGGACCTATCTGATGACCCTGCTCAGTTATAACGAGATGTCGTTCTGGTCTAAGGTTCTAGGAGTTAGGAGCCCGATGCATGCCGTGCATGCTGGCGCGGCGGTTGATAAGGTTTGTCCGAAAAATAAGCGCCCTGGTATTGGTAGTAGTGTAAATATCGATATCGTTAGGAGAGGCAGCACGATCCTGTTCTGCGACTACGTTTGCGAGAACCTGGGCGACGCGGAGCCCCTGACTTGGCTCCTGGTGAACCACATCGAGGAGACCATAAACCTGGCCACGGAGTCTCCGGTCAGGGAATTGGTGGCTGCAGCTGTGCACCGGAATCCAGCTGCAAGTGGACTGCTGGTGCAGGCTATCGCTGCTAGGTGTCTGCATCTGTCGAGACCAAGCTTCGTCAAGCGACTGCTGCAATGCATGGAGGGAGCACATCATTCCCAGAGCGGGGCGTTAATTCTAGCTCTGGTGCCAAGAATGTTGGCCTCCAAGCACATGGCTCTTTCCAGGATGGTGGCGAAAATCGCTAGTCGGAGGGTGGAGATCCTGTTGACCCTGAAGACGGAGGACGCGAAGGAGCAACTGTCCAAGGAGGACCTCATCAAGACCATGGAAGCTCTGCAGACCACCAAGTTGGCCAGGAAACATGGTGGCTTAGTCAGTCTGCTGAACAAGTTGGGATCTCAGCACTATGACCTCTCCCCGTTAGATCTCGAGCACTGCAGGCCCTTCAATCCCTCCACCATTAAAAACATCCAGCTGGACCGCAAATGGTTTCTGGCGCAAGTCAAACTTCGCTGTTGCCATCCGAGCGCCAGCTACGGTTCCCTGGAATCCGCGCAATTGCTGAATAATCTGGATGCCGAGGCCTGTTCCGACATCTTGTCCTCCAAGGAGTTCAACATTAGGATCCTTAAAGAGTGCATTAGACTCTCCGTTAGAACCACTGTTGAGACATGTCAGAATGTAGAGATCAACGTAACTGCGGAAGAGGGTGTCGGATTTAGGGAGAGCCCTTTGTACACGGCTAGTAAGCAGTGCTTACTTCAACATGTACAAAACATCAACGAGCTTGTGCCGAAGCCTCATTATATATTCAGTCCGACTCATCGGGCCAACGGTAAGGATGTAAAATACACAACGAGATTTTCAGAACTTATGCAGGACACCCTGTACCGGGAGACGCTCTTCATGGTCATCCCAGCGGTGGTGGTGTATCTCCAGAACCTGAAGAAGCTGTCCAACTACGACTTGTCGGAGATCGACGAGATGTACGAAGAGGACCTCGCGAAACTCGCCATGCTGTGCCTGGAATCCGCACACTGGATGGTGCACTGCCAAGAAGTCAAGACCAGGATGTACAAGCCAAGCGAGCTGCAGCTGTCTCTCGACTGTGCCGAGGAGATTCTGAAGCACCCAAGGTTGAGTAAAATATTCGGCAACGCGGTTCACCATTCTTGGGTCTGTTCATCAGCGGCCACGTTGACAAGGATAGCCAGTCATTTTCTGATGGCAATAAACCCGTTGCCAATCGTGGACGGTCATGGTCTAGAGCCAGCATTGTCATCGGAGGAGACGAAGACCTATGCCAACGCGTGTCTGCAGATGGGAGCCTTGGTAGCCTGGCTGGAGAAGTGCCAGGTCGAAGGCACCCCGAAGAACGTCCCCTTCTTCGTCTTCAGGTCCCTGAAGAGCCTCGTCGTGAGCATCGGCAGGATGCCTCTGGTCAACTCTTTCGTATTGACGCCACCTCAGGTGTGGAAACACGGGTGGAGGGTGGTGGGTTCCGGACCGACCAAGTGTAGCTTCCCGCTCCTATCCTCGGAGTCCAACTTTCTTCAAGAAATCGAGATCTTGGAGCAATTCGTCTACAGGGTAACGCTGTTAGGCTGGACCTCGAGACTCCAGTTCGAGGAGATCTGGATGGCGCTTCTAGGGGTGCTGAACGTCTCACCGAACGACAACATGCTCGTCGAGGAACTTGCCGTCCTGAATCATGTGACCGGTCTGGCAGTGCAGGCTATCACGGCCCTGTTGACGCAGACTCTGCTTCTGCCGAACCCTGGGAACCCTGGGAACAGTTGCCCCATGTTCCACTCCAGGGACCCTCAGCTATCCCTGAACAAGGTCAGCTCGAAGAAGCTGTTCTCCGTCCAGGACACTCTCACCTGGAAGTTCGAGTGCGTGAGCGAGCCAAGGGACCAGGCGCGACCTAGGCTATACCACATCTTCGATAGGGGGAACATAGAGAGGGTCGCCAATTTTAACAGAATCTCTTACGGACAATTGTCCGTGCCCTACTTGTGGGCATCCTGTTCTCTGCATGAAGACAAACTAAGTTCCGGAGTCATCTCGCTAAGGGACAAAAGGAACCACGCTCTGCTGACTTCCTCCCTGGACCTGGAGTCCTGCCTCAGGTTCCTGTTGGACCTTTTCACCTCCTGGACCCTGCCTCAGGCCAACACCCACCTCCGACTGTTAAACGAGGTCGTCAAATCCATTCTCTGCATCTCCGAGCTCTTCGACGAGAGAGGCCAGTTCCAGTGGATGCTGGACACCTGCCTGGAGATTTCCAGGCTCCATTCCACGGATAACGTAATTCTGCATCAGTATCTAGTCATCGCAGTTTGCAAGGCCGCTGCCGTCCTGACCCCCTTGGTGAGTCTTTCGCTTAGAATCGAAGAGTATATCGAATTATTCGCCGATTCGAATGCCTTGGATTTGTTTTACAGGACGTCGAGACGCTGGAGAAGGTCAAGCGCCTCGTGGACAATAGCTTGAAATCCGGCTTCCTGCCGGCCAGGGTGTCCGCTCTTCATGGGTTCCTGTACCTGTTGCAAAGTGCAGTCCTTGCCGACTGCGAGGAGACCATGAACATCGTCCATCCCCTGGCTATCGAGTACATCCAGAAGCATATCGACTCCCAAGATTCGAACGGGTACGTTGTGTGGCCATAATCGTGCAGTTAAGTGTACGATATCTTTAGTTCTTGAGTTTATGTAAATTAGGGTGCTGAGTCAAAGCGAAGAGCACCAAGGAATAATGTGGGCCCTGGTGTTCTTCCTCCTGGAACACGCCGAAGATGCTCCACCCGATTCCGAGGCTCCTGCCGTCTTGGAGCTGGTCCTTTCCTTGGTGTCCAGTTCTGGGATCTCAACGGCTTTGCATCAGACCCTTCTTCAGGTACTCCTCGGTATGAATTATTGGTCCAATTGTGGGATCATCGATGGAACTCGTTCCAGGGTCTGGAAAGGCTGGTGGCCACCAGAAGCGTCGTGGGCAAAGTCGCCGAACAAATCGCCAAGGTGGCGATCGATCGTCTCAAACACGTCAGCCCTGTTTTGGCACTTCCTGCCCTTCAGCTTCTCCTGACCTGTATGTACACCGAGGCTGCGGACAGGTTGAACAGGCCGGATGTCGAGGAGCCATTACCGGACGTCGAGCCGGAAGCCCTGGTTCGCTCGATAGAGAGAACCTCGGCTATTTTCGACAGGATTAAAAAAGGATACCCGATGGAGGTCGAGATTCTCTGCACGGTATTGTCGGAAGTCCTTGCAGACTTCTTCCCCCCGTCGGAAATCCTGACTAAAGTTATCGGGGAATTCCTATCGCCTCAGCAACCTCATCCGAGACTCTTATCCGCGGTGGTCTTCAAGGTCAGTCCCTGGAAAAAATAATCTCGATATTCTATTTTATTCAGAATTGGGATCGGTGAATTCATTACTCTTCAAGGTGTTCGAGAGGGCGTGTAAAGGCACGCAACTCAGTTTACTTCAGGATTGGGTCGTCTTCAGCTTACCGAATTTCATCCAGAGCTTGCCTGTCGCGATGTTCACCTGGTGTTTGACCTGTTTCTTTATCAGCGCGTCCGCTAATCAGTGGCTGAGGGCTCTGTATCCTTTCGATTTTAATCCTAGCAAGCTAGACCTTTTTTATCATTTTTCCTAATGTGTAGTCCTTGATTCTCTAAGTGCAGCTTCCCCCACGTGCAATCTCGCATCGGTAAGTACGAGTACGAAGACAAGAAGATACTCTGCATCGCGGCGTCGAATTTCTATCGCCAGGTAGGGGGTCGAAAACAATTATTCACTCCCCGAATAAATGTTTCAACTACTCTTCACTCCTTTCCGCAATTTTTCCAGCTCTCCAGCGAGAGCCAGAAGGTCGCTTTTCGTGAGACTTTCCAATCGGCAGCCAAGGAACCCGGGACTCCATTCGGCGACATTTTAGCGTCCTTCTAAAGTACTACGCCTAGGAAAAAAAAAAAAAGAATTCATTGAATTCAAAGAATAATTTATTTCACTCAAACTCAGATTGTCCGGATTCCGCAGAAACGTTGCATCCAATTTCATTTGAGTGAAATTATTCTTTGGATTTACAAAATGTTTGATACCGTTGAAAGAATATTTTTTTTCTTCTCGGTGTAGGGAAAGGGACGATCTTTCTTCCTGAGAAAGTAGTGACGAGTCCTATTGTACAGAGACTGGTCGTTACTTTAGTGCCTAGTGCTGTGTGTATATTTGTATGTATCTGTATAGGCAATTGTATATCAGCGTTTGCAACCTTGCCCAGGGAATAGGGGGAGCGTCGTGTACAATAAATAATGTATTTTGTAAATAGAAATCGCGCTCAGTTGTCATGTAGGATTGTTGAGTCGCTCTTCTTCGGCTTCCTCTTCCGGTGGAGGTTCACTCTGTACCAGAAGAGACGCAGGGTGGCGTAGTAGAAGATCTCCACGAAGGAGAGCACACTTGCCCCGAGGAAGAGGCCTGCAGCTCCGCCGACAGAGGCTGCAACATTTAATTGCATTCACCCTTAACGGAACAAGTAGCTCGATTTAATTACATCCAGTCGACTTACCCAGAAAATTGTTCAACCCGAAGAACTCCTCCCGGTGGTACTTGTCAGTTGGAAACTGGATGCTTACGATCGTGATTCGGTCCTTCGGTGAGCCGGCTTTCCTGAAATTCGGTACAATTGTTCCAAAAAAATTCAAAATGAAAGAATGAATACCCCCTGAGAAACAATTTCCATTGAACCGAAGGGATATATTTCTTTGAACGGTGCCGAAGAAATACTTCGTTAAAAGAATAATTATTTCACGCGAACTCGAATAAACCTTAATTTTTGTATATTTACAGGTAATGATAATTGAACTCCGCAGTGGTGTAGAAGGTCGTGTCGCAATTGGATATGCAGCCGCACTTGCTCAAAGTATGCGGTTTAAGGTTGACGATGCGATTCTGGTTCATCCCTATGCAACGCATCTGAGTGACGTTGCAGGTCGGCACTCCGGCTGAAAGTGCAGATTTTTGCAGTACTATTTTTTAGGGCTTCATAGGTATGTCTTTGATAAGTACGTATGGGTCGCGCAAAGTGCGGATAACAGCCGCATAATTTCCTTATGATATCGTAACGGCACTCCAGGATGCACATCTTGTACGAGTAAACCGGCCACATATTTAGTCCTCCGTCCTGCAAGTACTTGCACTCTCTCTGGGGTACTGAGAGCTTCCTCACCCTCTCAGAACTGCTGGTCTCGGTAATTATAAGCGTAAGGGAGAGTAGCGTGATCGGAGGCACATGGTAATGGTCGTCCTTGAATTCTAACACCTCGTTGGGATGGAACAGGCTCACCTGTCGAGCGAAGAAATTCAACGACCGACTAGGAAGACTCGCTTCTAAATTTTAAGGTGATACGAAAGGATCATTCTATGTACATCAAAACGTCGAAATATTTGTCGAACCTTCATCACGCCTTAAATCCTATCAATTTAATTGAAACTCACCCTGATGTCGTGGTTCTTTATGCTCATGATATCTTTGGCAGTTCTATCCATGTAGGAGTAATAATGAAGTTCATCTTCCACGTGGGCGACTGTCCAATTGTTGGCGAGCCAGTACCTGAGGAAGAAGTTCTCTGCTTCGATGACATTTACTTTCTCAGTGGTCTCTGGACCGCATTGAAGGTAATTGAAGTTTTACTCACTCTATGGAATAGTAAACCCCGACCAAGTTGCGGAAGGTCAAGCAAATCCCTCTTTCCGTTACCACCCAGGTGGGTATTTTTATTGCATTTCCTTCGTAGAGGATGGACACTGGTCTCAGGTCGTAAAGAACTCGCAACCATTGGTCAGGGTGTACCTCTTCGTAGTCAGGAGTCGAAGTCATGGTGTCGTAAGTGACGTTGGAGATGAACGTAAAGAAATTCCTGGCCTCCGGCGTGTCTTTGATCCCGTATCTAGAATTTTTCCATCATTAAATCAGGAAATCGTATATGATATCAAAGGAAATCGATTTCACGGATTTCGAAGATTATGTCGACGCACTTCTTGAAGACCTCTGGGAAGCTCGTAGGATCTGCAGCTTCGACAGGACACGCGATTAGTGCTGGTTTTGTGATGGAAAAGGACCTGTAATCATGGTCAAGGACCACCACGGTGGACTGGTGTTGATAACGATTCCAAAATGTGATGGACAGGGCTATCAGACAACCCAGGGCTCCGACGATGAAGAGGACCGCTAGGAATCTGTGGAAAGGAACTTCTGAATAAAAGAGATTCCTTTTCTTACTTTATTATTTTCTATGTATGAAGTATTCAATGGAACGCAGGTAATCGTTAAACATTCGGCTATTTTCGAGGGAATAGAGTATTTCTTTGACTTTATGCTGGTTTCTTTAACCATATTCAGAGAAATGATTTATTAGGAAGAAATTTTTTTTTCTCAGTGCGGGAGTTCAAGAAAAATATAAAATAGGTCTTGCCTTTCCAACACGTGTCTATGGGGTGCAGCCAGGTGGTTCAGCCCATGGATACAGGAGTTATTAACAAAGTCCACCAGGTACCTCCCCGTGGACGTCTTTGCTCGAATCTTGTCCATTCCCACGCGGTTTCCGAGGAACTCCATATTTTCCTCGGCCCAGATCTTCCTGAGCTCCTTTTTTTTCGAATCCTCAACGACGAGTTCCCGGATGTAGAACACCGTGGGACTCTTTTCCCTGGACCTTCGTCTCATGATTTCGACCGGATATAGATACCTGAGAAAAAAGAAAAAAGAACATTTCTTTGGTACCGTTTAAAGAAATATTGTTTTTGCGGATCGATGAATTCTTGCCTTTTTTTTTTTCTCTCTCAGTGTCGGGGAAATTTTGCGAAAAATGGAGGAAGTCGCGCACTTGCGCCTGCAGTGCGCATAACGTAAAACTTGCGTGTAGCAGTGTTCGGTTATGCGAACCAGGCCGAGGAATCTCGTCAATAAAAGATTCCCCCTGAATATTTCATCCGCATACCGCACGTGAGCGATCGTATTCGAGCAATAATGCGCTAAGCGCATTGAATTCGATAATTGAAGGGAGGTCTTTTCCCCTCTTGGTAAGAAAATATTCCCCCGAGTTCGCCCTCGCCGTCTCTCCTGGCAAAGCGTGAATTACGGCCCTGGTAATTCTAAAAACATTTTTTACCGATCAATAATTCACGCTCCGATTCTATCTCCGAGCCCCTGCAGGACATCTTGCACTTCCACGCCGTGGCGGGGGAACCTAAGGAAAAGCTGTATCGGGAAAATTCATTTCCCAATCGGAAGAGGACGAGGCAGCCCGTGTCCTTCCACTGACTCGACCTGGATTATACGACCTGAATGAAAATCCTCGGAGGATCTAATGAACCCTCCTGAAAGAGTTTCGATCCGGTCGTAAGCCGAGCTCTGCGCATCCCAGTTTGTCCTCGTCCAATCGAATCTCCTCCAGGACAACCTATTGACACTCCCAGAATCAGGATCCCGGAGGTATTTCCTTCACGCCGAAAGTGCAAGTAAAGCGAAACTCCGGATACTGCAAAAGAGAATTACTTTTAAAATCAATTTGTTCCCTCGCCGTTAAGCCAGCGCGTCCACTTTAACGCGATCGAAGAAAATTTCGTACTCCTTTGTTGCTAATTAGTTTTTTTTATAAACAGAGATGCAATTATTACCGCGGTAAGAGAAGAACTTTATCGGCAAGTCGTGCTTTGTCAAAAGTGGAGGTGTCATTTTTTCCGTGCAGACGACTTCCGAGTGTCGGGAAACAACGGCTCGACCCGTCAAAGGCGCCTCTTTTTGGATCCGATTTTTAACCCGCGAGCCCCGATCGGAGAGTCAAGTGTAATCTGCCCGAAAAAGAGATCCTTGTTGGCGGAGATTATGACAAGCGTCAAATTCCCATCGGAGACCCGCTGGACCCGGGATGCTGTTCGATCCGGCTTTGCCAGGTCGATCTAACCAAGCCGAAAAAATGGCCCGAAATTCCCCGGACATGGTAATGCATCCGACACTATGCAGATCGTTGCAAAACCTCCCGTCAGTCATTTGCATCGGAGGAAAAAAAAATAATGCATGCACTTTAACGCAGAGCAACGAGACAGAGTGCATCCGAACGGAGGAACTGTACAGAAGCGGGGCATGGCACGGGCCCAAGGCCCAAAAATGTCCTCTGCATCATCGATGCTCCACCAAAGAAGAGCCCTGCGACAGATGCGAGTCTCTGATGCAGTTGGAAAATTATGCACTCGAGAATCCCAGGAGAAGACGGAAATCGAAAGTTCGACATTGCTCGTCCTGCCGGTGCGGCCCGGACGCGTTGAGATTCTCGCCACTCGGGCCAAGGTTTGTCATCGCTGGGGGACATCGGAAATAATGCATCCCATAACTCGATAAAATTGCCGGGCATTCTTGGGAGATGGTTAGGTCGGCAGTAATAGGCGAATCCCGCGCCAGGAGTTGCATAATGGCTGCAGCGAAACTTCCCTCTTTACGGGTCAGCGCCGGGATGCAATCCTGCAGGCGGCCGTCCACTTCGAATCGGAAGATCTGCAAAAGTGCAGCCCCGCTTTTCGATTTACCGGCACATCGTTTCGCAACAAGGCTGGATCATTAAATGGCGATCGAATGGGCGGCGGCCAGCAATTGTGATTCATTGCCGAGGAACGCTTGGAAAGTCGAAATTTCGGTGCTCCTCCCTCGAAGGAACTCGAGCGTGCCCCCAGATGCCTGGCAGCAGTCCATGCTGAATCCTTGGAACTTTCCTCGGACATCATGGTATATATGGCTTGTTTTTGCCCAGGAAAACCTCCGAGAACGTCGAGGTCATCCTGGATCGTTACGAGCGAGTCCTGGCGGATTCGTCCTACCCGTCATCGAAAAAGCCCCAGAGCGGGGCATCTCCAGGACATTTGCGAGCTGCAAGGTGCTCGAAAAAAGGGAACCCGTCTCACCGGTTGAAAAAAAACGGAAAAGTCGAAGCCGACCCGGTCCTCGAGGTCCTTTTCCAAGATCTGGTCGACCCGAGTCCTGCCAGTCGGAACGAGAGGTCCTGCAAATTCATGGAGTCCAGGAGTGCACCGAGGAAGGATCGATGCAACGACCGGCTGGTAAATCTCGCATTTGCGCTCCATTTAGGAAATCCACCCCGAAAAGGACCTTCAGGGATCTCATTTTTCTAAAGTCTATAGTTCATCAGCGCTCGGGAAATTAATCGGCGTGATTGCGGTCCGGTTAATTCGGTTTCGTCCCGGAAGTGGCCCCATTTCCCGCAGAGCCCTTAATTTATTTCCACAATCTAGATATTAATCGTGCAGTTACCGTACAATGTCTTCCTGCGAGTGAGCCTTGCTTTCTAGTCGTTATTGCTGGGCGCTTGACGGGTTAATGGCACATCCTGGAAGTAATCGCGAAGAGAGTCCTTCGAGCAGCTAATTCTGGAATACCGTTTAGATACCGAAATGATCTCAAAAGCTGCGACTCGACAGAGCTCTCAATTTTAACGACGGAATTTCGAGAGCGGGCGTATCTTACAAAATGTTTCCCAGGATGTGCCTTTCTAGATTCCATCCAAGGCTGCAGTTAAATTATGAAATGAAGTAAAAAATAAAAACCATCTAGGAATATTCGGACCGTTTCAGAGTCCACTGCCCCGTGAAAATTCAAACCTGGACGGCGAAAATTTAAAGAGGCACCACGGAAACCCACGTTCCCCGGAATTACACGAAAGGAAGAGGTCGCCGAGGCCGGCAGGAAGTGGCCCAGCATCCGGCAAGAAGGAGAAAGCCAGAAATGAAGATCTAATGCAGCTGCGGAAAGATCAACAGGAGCTGGAGAAGTTGATCCTCGAGATCCGGGAGTTTGAGAAAAAGAAGTGCCGACAGGGTAACGAGGAGAAAGAGGGGAAATCCGGGGAGGACGAGATCATAAGGAAGGTCGACTTTCCACCGAAGAAAGCTCCAAAAGGCACCGAACAACCCTCTTCCTTGGAGATCGCGACCACCACTCGGACAGAAGCGGTACTTCCGCTATTTCCAATTTCTCGAAATAGTCAAAGAATTATTTGGAAAGTCGAAACTCGATTCGGTCCTTCCTTTTCCCTCGATTACAGGAAAAAACGCGAGGGCTGAGACTTGGAGAGGCGAGCAGGAGCTGCCAGTCGATTCTCGGGGCGGAAACTCAGTCTCAAGAGGTCTCGAAGAAAGTCGCGGACTCCTTGAAGGAGGAAATCCCCGAAACGAGGCAGAGCGAGGTGGCATTTTGCAAAAATTGCCGCTGTACTTCGACACCGAGTATAGAGGGGACGAGCGAGGAAATCGGTAGAAATATAGAGGAGACATCTAAGAGAACTTCCGAGGCGACGACCACGAAGAGGAAGAACGTCTACGGGGCTGGGGATTTGGATCTTCATGCGAGCAAAAGCTACATAGTGAGCCTGATCGATCGAGCCTTGAGTCGAGAGCTGGGAACGGTTCCCGAGGGAAGAAAGGTACCCTCTAAAATGCCGGAAAATAGAATATCGCGTTAAGATGGAGGAAAGTGGGCGATTACACGCGAGTCCATTTTTCATCCTCCCTTCAAACCGGAAGTCCAGTTTTTAAATGCCTGTCCAGTGATAGGGCGGTCTGACGATATCACGCAACTTTCGCCTCGCTCGACAATAACTGAAAGTTGGGCTTTCGGTGAAGGAAGGATGAGAAAAAAGAAATGATTGCATCTGCAGCGTCGAATCGTTGCGCCTCAAAGCGCTCCGTCTGGCCTTGTATATTTGTTTTGTAAGGCTCCTTTTAATTTAGGACGATTTACCGAAGTCGGGGCCGACGCAGCAGGAGCTTTGCCTGGAGATAACACGCCTCCTCCAGGGCGATTGCTGCCAGAGTCTCGGCGCATTTTCCCAGAATTTATGTAATCACCAGGAATGCCCGGATTACGTGAAACAGCTGAAAACCCTCCGGTGGGAGTACTTGAATCACATCCAAGAGGAACTCAGGAAGCTGCACGACCTGGAGAGGTTCCTCGACACCTGTTCCCCGAGACACTCCTTGCCCGTCCTGAATGGCCAGAGTTTCCTCGCCGAGCACCGAAAAGAGCAGCAATTAAGGGCGCTCAAATAATTCCGCTAATAAGATTTCAGAAGCTAACGTGCTCCGCATTTTTCTGGCCGGTCTCCCACGAGACGTATGTATTGTACCCTGAGAAAAAGAAATGGTTGACTCAAAGAAATACGCATTGTTACAACCAAAATCTGCGAAATCAAACACATGAAAAAAAAAAATGGGTAGGGGTAAAGAAAATTGCTTTAAATCACCGAGATAATTTTTCTTCCCAACGAAACAATTGTTTCTTGCAATTACACAGGATTCGGGCAACGATGTGTTAACGACATGTATTTCTTTCGGTCAACTAATTTTTTTTTTCCCTGGGTATGCTCCGTCCTTTGATTTAGCGATCCGGCTGGTGAATTACCGAGGTGCAATATGCACCTAGCGATATTTAATTACGAACTTCCTGAGAGAATAAATCGAGCCCGCGGGTTGCAGTCGAGAGTCAGCTGCGACATATACGCGCGTCCATAGAGTCGCGTCTGTTATTCCGTGGATGAGGGGATATATACGCGAAATCACGCGTGTATCTTTACACGGCGTCGGTATTTACCAACGATTCGAATTCACGGGTTCCTCGAGCGAGGGTGCATAAATCGATCATCTCTCGTCGGTGGGTCAGCATGCGAGATGCATTTTCAGGATTGGCGGTTCCGCGCCGAATGACGGTTTGCTATCACGGAAGCGACATTAATTTCGCTGTTACTCGCGATGTTTGTTCCCGATTTGCATGTGCCAGTCCCCTGTGGTGCAATGGGTCCAGGGTTGCACTTGCACTTGCAGGAGCCGTCAAAGGCGCGTCCCTTTCGCAACTCGAATCACCTCTACGAGGCGTAATTGGACCAATAACGTCCTAAATAAATCAAGCACTCCTAAAAATGTGGTGAAAATGTGATAGAACTGTGGTAAAAATGCGCCTTTGGAGAGCACTTGCATTTGTATTTGCATTCGGGGATCGGAAAGCGAGAGCGCGCGACTGGTGGAGCCGGCGGGCGGGCCAATGAGGGGCGACTTTCCGTTGGAGCGGGCCAATCGGCGCCTGCGGAGCGCAACCCGGCGCGCGGCGGTGCCCGGCGGGCGATATGGGTGATGCGGGCGCTGAGGGGAGTCAGTTCGCGCGCTACCGCCGCGCCGAGAGGACGTTTCTGCGCGTGGTCTCCAGTGACCCAGTGGCCCCGAAGGACTCCCGCGCTCCCTGGTACCCGTCGCGCGCCTTCCTCAAGTGCCTCGCTCCCGGTGTCCCTCGAGATCTACTCCCAAGGGGTCCAAGAAGGTGGGTCTGGCATGCGGGAAGAGCGCCTTAACTTTTGGGATTCGCGCAGCGCGCGATAGTCGCTGCGTCTCTTAGATGGCGCGGAAACGCTCGGTTCCCTTCATTAGGGAAAACCGCTCGAGTTTTCTCGAGATAACGCTACTCGCGTCAGCGATTAGCCCCTGGGAAATTACCACGTCGGTGTAAATTTTAATCCGCGGGTAGTTTCTTTTTTTTTTTTTTCTTGCCCCGGAAGAAATGCCTATTAGGCAGGCGCGATCGATCCGCCGCGGGATTTAGGAAGGCGAAATTTTTAATGCTCAATTTCAGGGTCTCGAGTCCGTGCGCCGAGGAGGCCTCGGGCTCTGGGAAAGAAACGCCGAGAGGCTCTCTATCGCTCTCTCGCCTCGTCAATGGGTCTCCGCGCTTGGCTCCGCGACTTCATTTCCGGTCCATTATCCCGCGGAATGCTGAATCGCTCTCGATCCTTCCGAAAAAGGGCCCACCAAGCGACCTCCCGCGTCCCGGACTCTTGCGGACACTTTTATTCTCCGCCAATGTCGAGGTTGGGTCAAGTCCGAGGCTAGATCGAATCCTTGGGCAGGAAGTCCGGCCGCGTCCAAGTTTAGCACCGGATGTGAGCTTTCCGCGGGTCCGCCGATATTTCACCGTCCCCACTTTCCCCCTGTCTCCGTTATTTCTTGGCGAAATTGAAACTCTTTCTCCCTTATTCCGGATAAAATGGTATATAAAGTGTATAAAGAGCGCGACGAGAGATCTGAGTCGACGGGACGAAATGTGTATGAAATTGTGGCTGGAGATCTTCCCGTACGAAATAATATGTATAACGCATAATGGGTGCATCGCGAAAGTTGCATATAACGCGTAAAAAGCGGAGCGAGAAATTGCACCGGTCCCGAAGTCGAGGAGATAAATGGAGGGTCGAAGATCCCTGAAAATTCCCCTAACTCCTCGACTCGTTAGAAGTGCGCCCGGTGCATCGTGCATTCAGTGCGCCTTCATTTCCGGTTCTGCGCGACTTCCGTTGGTTCCGCCTTTTGAGTGATAAATCTCTTGGCACGAGCTCTCCATACAGCTCCCTCCCGGCCATTTCAACCCTTTCTCCGTTGTCCCTGCGAGGACTGATGGCTCGTCCTCAGAAATGGTACTATCAATTCTTATCATTGTAGCAGGAATTAACACTAGAACTACCGGCGGATTTTCTTTTTTTTTTTTTATAAGATGGGCCATTTGAAAACCAGTCATTTTGACTGGCCTTGGTAGTTCTAGCGTTAATAGGGAGAGTCCTCCGAGGAGGAAGGATAACGGAGGGAGGTCCGAGGTGTCCTTGCTGTCCGATTTCTCACCCGCTGGGAGGAAGGATAAACCAAGGAAGGGGGGAAGGGAGAGCGTCCCCCGTTGGGAAGAAATTCTTTACGCAATGTCGAATGGGATTACGCGAAGGAATTCATTTGCTTCCTGGCCGGGGATATTCCCTTTGCGTTCCCCTTATCTCTTACCTGTGTGCGATTGGGGGTATGCTCGCGCCCACGTGCATGTACACGCGTACGTGTGCATATACATGCGCCCACGTGCACACCCTGTCAGGATGCGATCGAAAAGCCCGGTTTCTCTCGGGAGGACGTTTCACCTCGGGCACCTTCGAGCCGGAAATAAGGAGGGAAATCCTGGCTCGTAAGTCGGGCTTAAGGTCGATAGCGCGACTCCGTTGTCACCGGGAGTTCCGCGCCGTTTCCTCCGGCCGAGGATACACGCGGGGATATAATCCGCGGTAATAGAGAATCATTCCCTCGCTTCGGCAGACGGTAGATACTTGAATATATTTTTCTTTTTTCCCGACCTTTCCCTACGTCCGGAAACCCCTCGACGAGGAGCGCCCCTTTCAGGGTGCACTTCGAGATCCCCGAATTTTTAACGAGTCATCCGCCGCGCGGAATTCCTCCCCGCGTTATTTCGAGATTTATCGAAAATCCCCGCGCGGAATTTTATCGAAAAATCCCTCACAGGACTTTTTCGAAAAATCCCGCACAGGACCCGTTCGAAAGTTCTCGCCCGGGACTTTTCTAAACGCACCGCAAAGGGAAAGGTCGAGTCAGCGCGTATTTTTCTCCGGCGAGCCGAGCTTAATTCATCATTAGCGAACCCGCGGGCTTTCCGGAGCGAGGTCGGCGCGCGTTTCGCCCGCAGTCCGCGCGGTCTTCGCCGCCCTTGCACCGGGTGCAGTCTTTGCGGTCGCATCGACGTTTCCTGGGTCCAGGAGGTCCGCAAGATTGGCCGCGAGGCGGCCGCAATCGCGGCGAATTACGCGGGGCGGCACGTCCGAGGGATAAATCGAGATTTGTAGCGCGCGGGGCCGCTGCACCGGTGCATCGGTGCAACGGTGCAACGCGACGCCCTCCTCGGGCGCGATTAATTCAACCCTCGTTAACGGGGAGGCCATCGGGCGGGGAAGTTGGCCCGTTATCAAACTTGTTACCGGGCTTTGCGAGGACACCCGGGGCATCCCTGTTGCATTGTCCTTCTCCTTTGGGCTCTCTTATGTGCACCCGCCGAGGCCTCGGATAAGATACTGCCAGTCGCAGGCCTCGAGCAGACCTCCCTATATGACTATAAATCCCAGGCGAGATTGCCTGGATGTCGAAGGAACAAATGGTGATGTTAATTACCTCGTTGCGAAACCTGTCGCCGGATGCACCTGCGCTGAGCCCCTGCACTCCGGCTTCCTGTCCTCGACTAGAGCGATTCGCGAGGATGCGACCTCCGACGATGAAATATCACCATTGTTTACCCTTTATTCCTTTTTTTAATCCTTTCCATTTATTCCACGTAGTTTGAGGCTAATCATTATCCTTTTAACAAAACATCCCTTTCGTACCGTGTATGAGACTTTCCTCCGAACTCGGTGCACCGAATCGCTCCAAACTTGACGACGTCAATGTGGATACTCTAAGGACGGTCCCGATACCTATGAGATTTAATAACTTGTGATTTTTAAAATGTCCATGATCCACTTGAGAGAAAAGTCTCACGGACGAGACCTCTTTGTCGCCGCTTTCGTGTCGCCTTAACCCGCGCCGCGCTTCCCGATTCTTCGGGAGATTTATCGAATTTTCAAACTACCCGGGAAAGGGCCATGAAATACGCCGAGGCGGAAACGTCGAATAGTTTCCACGGGCCCATAAATCGGGCCGGAGCGGAAAACAGGGACCCCCCTTCGCCTTGTCTCCCCGGAGTCGCGTCGGGCTCCGCTTTTCTAAAGCGCGATATTCTCCTATTTCTCTATTCCCGCGCACGGAAAATCCACCTTGGAGGTGATAAGGTATCAACGCGTGCCTCCAGCGCTGAAAAACTCACTCCTGTTTTTTTTTTCTTTTTTTTTTTTCCCACATCTCGGGCATTTCATAGCTACGAGCGTATCGAGCACCTCTGCCGATTGTGCCCCTCGACGAAGTTAATCCTCGCTTGTGATTGATCGTCCTCGAACGCCACTTTGATCGAGCCTCGAATTAGCCCGAATGGCGAAAAAAAGAAAAAATTAAAAAAACAATTCATTTGCATTTTTTAACAAGGGCCGGTATCGTTGACAAAGTCTTGCTCGCATGATGCGAAGAAAACGGTCAGAGTTGAATAACTCAACTCGGCGAAATTTCTCTACCTAATTGCAATTAATTTCAATAATTAATTCCCGTGTACTCGATCGCCCATCGCGGCGGCACATCGGCCCGATCGGCTGGCAATT